TATATGTAAAATTTTTAATACTATAAAATATATAAATAAATATTATCTCTACTATCTAAAATTTTTGAATCCGTCACTATATATATTAAAATAATATTTAATAAATAAAAATCACAATTTTCAAACGTAAATTAATCTTTAATTATTAATTTTAAATGATTATACCACGTTCATAAACCATAAAAATAATTCAATTTGACTTGATCCAAAACCAACAATACGTTGGTATAAACAAATAGCTTATAACTTAGCAGCTAATAAAGCTTAGTTCAACTTAAATCTAGAGAAATAACCACTTTTACTCAGAAAACTGACAAATAACGCGATTTTTTTTTTTAAAAAAAAAACTAAATCAAACACGCAGTAATAATCTATTAATGTGAAAAACGTAATCAAAAGTACATTATGCTTCCTCCTAAAATTCCATAATAACATAATAATGCCCATATGTCCTGGTTATTAATGTCAAGTGGAAAACTAATGGGCAATATTATCTTTATAAAGTTTGCGAAGAACCAAAGAACAATCAAATAACCATCTGAATAGCACTGAAGAGTACAGAACGCAGCAATGCATCTTGCCCGACCAAAGAATACATTATGAAATATTCTTCCATTTGTAATGTGCAATACGATGAAGAAATGATGTCATTATAAAAACCTAATTCCAGGTGCTAAGCACTTGATCAATTGCAACTTACTCTTCCATTCAGGAAAATGGTACCTCTGAAAATTTAGCCATCTCTACGAAAGTTATAAAAGGCCATAATAATCTAAAAATATAATTCAAAATCTCATAATACTAATTTTCCAATAAGGGAAACGTGGGTGGAATATTTCCTAGGCAAAAGACATTATGTTCCTGGAGATTCAAATTGATATACTGTAGCAAAACTGAAAGCAGGCAAAAGTTTTGACCTTTCAAGCAGACTCTGTTTCAGTGACACCCTCGTTCTCTACACTGTCCTCAGAATTTTCAGTTTTGGCTTGTTCTTCTTGCGGTGCTTCTTGTTCAGGCTTTGCTGGTCCAGGACCAGCTGATACCTTCACCATTGATGGACGCAAGAGACGGTCACCTAGTTTAAAACCCTTTCTGAATTCTTGAATTATGATGCCATCCTCATATTCATCAGAATCTTCACGCATAATTGCTTCATGTAGCTTTTACAAGTAAAATAAAAATGCAATTTATCAGGAAAACTTCTGCTCAAGACTATCAATATCCCATACCTTCAAAAACTACTAAATAACATTTTAAGAAAAAAGACCTCATGATTCTGGTGCTTCATTAATTCATTGAAGGCTGTAGAGCTGACTCAAATTCGAGATAAAGTATCTTACAAGCAACCAACAGAAAGTAATTCTATAACTAAGATTATGTGCTGAGATTTTCCAACACAATGTGATGAAGAAGCCTTTTTTTTCCATTACATTTTGTGATGCAGTTTTAAACTCACCAAGTTGGCTCGAAACAATCAAGAAATGCTTTGGGTTAAAAGCGTGTCAAGGTCTTCAGGAAACCTGAACAAGCTTGATAAAGTGTTTGAAAAACTTCATCAATGACATGATTGAATTTCGAGCCAACAGGTTTGCGTGCCTGCATCAATCATAGATGACACAGCATTATGCCATAAAAAAAATGAAATGAAAGGTTGGGACCATACCAAAAATAATTTTTTAAAAAAAGGAAGAAGATATTTTTCATGGTATATACATAAAAAAATCTAAAACCAATATTACAATAATCCAAAGACAACATAAATTATATTACAGAAGTTGAACAAAACTTGAGAGAAAAATGCCAACCAACAAATTTGACAAATATACTGGTTGGTTTACAACAAAACGTCATATCTGTTTATACAAAGACAATGTAATATAAAATGTTTGGTGCAATTCCAACCTTTAATTAAACTTGAATTTATTAGTTCCATTTTTTAATAGAACACCATCACCTCCATGATAACAAAATTCTTTTACTTGAATATTAGATATACTTGAATTTTACTACAATTGTACAAATTGAAATTGCTGAATGCTGATTAACTTACCATTGGATCGAAGGGTGTTCCAACTGTCTCCACTGGTTCAACTCCAAGTGAGGTTAGAATTTCAATGAACTGTTTATATATGCTTTGATAGCTGTTGTTTATTTTCTCCTCTGCCTCTGTCTCCACCTTAATCTGGGTCTTTGCTCTCTCAAAATTATCCAATACAGGCAACAAACTCTCCACAACTTCACCCTGAGTATTTGTGACTAGTGACAGGCGATCTCTCTCCGTCCTCTTCCGAAAATTGTCAAAGTCGGCACTAATTCTTAGAATCCGATCCTTTTCTATAGTTAACTCCTCAGATAAAGAAGCTATTTTCCCTTCAAGTTCTATTTTATCATCTTCAATAGATTTTAATGACGATTCCAACTCAGCAATTTTGACTTCATCATTATTAGCTAATGCTTCTTTGTACAATTGAAGTAACGCTAAGAAAGGTGAAACAGGTGTTTCACCAGCATCACTAACCTCATTATCACTCGCACTGTCCTTTACATCAACAGCACCATCTGAAGGGTCCTGTTACAATAGTGAATCAGAAAATTGGGATAGGACAAGGAACTAATACTTAAACTTCATATTCTTGAACCCTGCTATTTCCTTTATTAGAGTCAATCAAAATTCAAAAAGCAAACATAAATATGTATTCATCAAGGGTGAAATCATACTCAGAAAAGGTTATACAAGTAGGGGGAGAAAATCTAAACCAGAAAAAAAAAAAAAAAAAAAAAAAAAAAAA